CGTGAACTCTCTTGTACGTAGATAAAAGTGATTCGCTCATTATCCCCCTTCATGTCCTGTTTTCGACAACGTTTTCAAGCTGAGACATCCATAAAACACGCAGACTGCGAGAAAGGTGTTGTGATGCATCACTTCCTGAGTCCAACCTAAAGATTAAACACAGAAATGAGTGAGAAAGATGAAATGGTTTTAGGCGAAACGTTTTGATACATTTGTTTTTTTTTTTTGGTTTATCTAGAGTGCAAGTTCTCAAAAGGTGTGTAACATCTTCAAGCACGATCAAATCATCACCATTTTGATTTTGTACGAAATTACTTAACTTTACAACTTTCTTGCATTAAACCATAATTGTTGCATTAATTCAAGTTATGCTGATTCTATGCATTTATGTTTATGGTGCACTCTCAATACATTAAATAAATTATTAATTGATATGAGATCTTCCGTTACTCAAAAGCAATTTGTCTTTTTAGAGTAATAGGTGTTTGATGACTTCCTCAATAAATAATTATATATTCTCAATAAGCTAATAAGTTTTTTTAAAGGTACTGCTGCGTACTTTTTCAATGTTTTTGTACCAGAAGGTGAGGACGATTTTCCGGGATTGGACTTTGATCGGTCGATTGATTCTCCGGTAGCACTTCGCAATTGACAGATTATTTCTTTTTTAATAATTAGAGCAAATTTCAGCACTTTCTCACACACGCGATAGTAACGGGTAGCGCATGGACATTTATGCTCGTAATGCAAGTTTTCATACTTACATTCGTAGCCGAACTGCGCTTAGCTTATGCAACTCCTTGTGTAATTTTCAAGAACATCTATAAGAATCAGAAGATTCAACAATGGTTTGCGAAAAGAGATTTCATGACCCTCGTTTCTTATTATTAACGCTTTCATGTTATAACCGACATAGAGATATATTGCTTACGAGCAGCGAACAGAAAGTGCATGACAAACGCATCGGTTCAAAATAAAATGTTTGGAATGAGGTCAATCTTTTTATG